TAAGCAATTTCTCACCTACCCAACTTCTCAGGCCCTTTGACATACGTGGCCATAGATATTTAGCCACCTAGGCATGCCATAGCGCAGAGTGTACCAGGGACGTGAGGAAATTCTTTGAATTTCAAACATACATGTTTACTGTGAAGGAATCCGCAGCTGGAGGGGGGAGCTGTGGGAATCCAGCGCCAAGGAAATGTTTGCTGAAAGCATTTAAAAAATAACCAGGGCACGAAGCAAGAGACAAAAGTAACACTTTGCCGGGAGTGCAAACCAGGAATGAGAACTGCGTTTGGGAGTGTAGACAGGGCTCTATCAAACTGGTTTTGGATTTCCCTCTTGCTCCTGGCTGGGGAAGGGTGAGCAGTCAGAGCAGCGCTCCAGCCTGTCGCATCACTTGCAGCATCAGGAGAAAATTCTCCTCTCAGTTTGACAGCGTGGTTGATTTTTTTCCTGGCTCCTCTAGTGAGATAAATTAGGCCCCAGAGCACCACTTGTAGGCTCTTTCTGCACGATATCCCTTGGAAAGGTGCCTTCTTGCCACTTTCTGGCACGCCAGCCTGGCCTGCTGGCTGGCTGAGGCTGGACACGCTGGGAAAGGGGTGTTGCTGGGAGAGGGGTGTTGCAAGGACCAGCAAAGGAGCTTCTTGCAGCTCCAGCCCCGAGTGCCCCCAACTCACCCTGCACCCCAGACCCCTGCCCCACTGTGAGGTGCATGGGAGCCCCGGTGCTCCCGTCAGCCGGCGCTGCACCGTCCCCAGGGGAGCCGGCTGCGGTATGCGGCCAGCAGCTATTGACTTACTTTTCCGTGCATGGCCGGGTAAGTAACCTTAATTAAAAACATGAAGCCCACAGTTTGTATCACATTCGCGATGTTAAACAAGCTCTGGAAATAGAAACCCTGTTTTCATTTAAGCTTTTCAACTGTGATCTAAGTAATAAAATATGGAGGGGGCGGGCATGTGTGAAATTTACATGTGATGATTTGGGAGATCTCGCTGCTTCAGAGGCTTGTAAGGCGCCGCGGTGCCAACTGCTCCTGCCGCTGCCTCACCGCGCTTGGCAGCGCCTGCCCCACACAGGCTTTTGGTTTTTTCCAGAGCCGCTTTCCAAATGCTGATTCCTGCCCTCGGCTCTTGTTGCTGTGATTTATTCTGGGTGTGGGTGAGGGATCTGCCAGCCCCTCAGCAACCTGCTGCCCTGGCTGCCCGTGCCCTGCCCGGCTCTAGGCAGGCAGTGTGCACTCCCACCACTCCTGGAGACCACCGATGTCCTTGAGGACAGCCACCTGTCCTGCAAGCACAGACAAAATGGTCCCGTGAGCCCATGCTCAAGTGGCACCATCACCAGAAGATGTGGGGGAGGATTAGCGTTGCCTTCCTGGTTCCTCCTGGGCCACTATGCAGGGAATGAGTGTCCATCCCACCATGCTGGGCAGGCAGGAGGGGAAGGTTTTCCGAGGGCACCTCTGTACTGGGTGACCCTGCTTCTGTGGGCCTGCAGGACCCACAGAAAACATGCTGTGCCCCATCCATGCCACCCCTTCGGAGCTGGGGGCCAGAGCCTGTGCCTGTCCTACCGGGGGGGATCACCCCTGCAGTGCCAGAGGGGCTGGGGGGGGAACGGGAAGGCAACAGGGCAAGTATTTTATGAGGCTGCAAATGGTTGGGATCACCTTCCTGTTTCACTGGAGTGAACAGGAGCTGTCAGGAGCTTGGTTTTGATCAAGTCTGTCACTTTCTCAGCTTCTTTTGCTGTAATGTAATTATAACAATACTTCCCAGGTCATAAACAGTTTGGCTGGGCATGGTAATAATTGAACCTGCGTGTTTTGCAGCAATTCTGCTAATAAGCACACCAGCAGGGAGACACTGGTCCCACGGTGTCTCTGTGTGCCCCCTACCCCTATCCCCAGCCCCCAGCTGTTTCTGAGTGCTCTGCCCTGGCCATGTCCTGGGGGGAACCTCAACCAGGGCTTTTCCTGAAGGCCTGTGGGAGCACAGGGTGGGCACGAGTGCTCCCGTGGTCATTTATGCCCATTTCCAGCTTTTGCTTTCTTCCTGGGGATGGGCAGCAGGTTGGTCCTGGGTTTTTTTTTTCCCCGCCCTGGGATGGGCGATTTTTCCATCTCAACCACGGAGCATCTTCAGCGCCGCATCGCCGTTCCCCAACCTCCCCCCAGGTACCACCCGAGG